CACAAATAGACTTGGTGTTGTAATATGTGAAGGAAAGATTAATAAGCGTGTGCAGAAGGCAAAGTTTCCACCCACAAATAAATTTAACACATGACATTCCATTCCTACGTCGGCATGTCTATTTCTTTAATTTGAACGTACATACTAAATTATTCAGAAGCAGATAATTCAATTTGATCGATAAAATGTCACCCAACCTTTTGCAAGCCACCTATTATTTTATGTAGACATTAGAATGATTAATATTGCCAGACAGTCATAGTACGTATCCACTGTACTGTCATATTTTATGTAAAATTCATTTTCCCTTCAGCCCGTTGTCGTAACACTTTTCGGTTCCTTCCATTTTAATCTTGAAACAAGCCGGAATCGACTTGAAAATGGGTGTCTAAATAAAATTCTTGTCGCTCATTAATCCTTCTTATATCAACTTTTCGCTTGATTGGCTATTGGGTAGATCATGTCTGCTTGTCCATTACAGTTACAAGAAATTGAGTAAAGGATTCCGATTACATGTTATATTGGGTGACACACTAAATATTCTAGAGTTAATTAAATGTTGATTTGCATCGGCCGATTATAATCGCACACTAAATACCTCATGAAGCAAAACATTTTTAAGCAACTTAATAGAAGTTGGCTGGGAAAATATTGCCAGTCTTTTATGAAAACCCAAGGTTCAATATTGTACGCACAAGAGCCCACCACTTATTTCAGTCCTGAGCCAGACGTATCTTCAATTCGAAGTCTGTTTATTTTCTCAAAAGATCTCATCGTGAAGAAAGATTTGTATAAATCTTAGTATAGACTCTAAGGCAGTCAAGATTCTAACTACGAACTTCACATCAGAATGTAAAATATAACGCTAAACCAAACCGATTATTCAACTCTATTAATACTTGATTATTATAAAATGAACAGTTAATATCGAAATTTACACTGCAGTTAATGTTTCTCTCAGACAAGCCTTTAGCCTACTTTGTTAAAACGGTTTATATTTGTGTAAAATACGATTTTACAGAGGTCACAGCCCTAAAATAATTATGAAACACCTGACTCGCTCTGTTGTGAATTCCTGGAAATAAAAGCAAGAAGAAATATTTTTCCCTCAGACAAACAAAAACTTCTACCTATTATGAAGGAGCCTGGGGCGGGGATTAGTCAGGGCATCACAAACTTCAGCTCAAGCACTGTTTGAGAGTGGTTCCAGCTAGGATCTTAAAAAATAAACACAACACTTTTACACCCATAACATTCATGACGTCATGTTTAATCCTAACCACCTCTAACTCTTCCGTAAACAAGAAGAAAGATCTGCCTTTTCACTCTGCCCTTCTGAACTAGGCAAACACGATTCTTCCAACTGAAACAGTGCTGAACTGTTCTTTAGCCAGACGCACAGGGAGAAGAAAAAATACAACTAAAATAAACTTTGGAATTCTGAAGAACCTCACATATCACGTAATATGTTTTGACAATCTGCCACTTTGACGTGACCTGCTAATAAAAAGGTCTCTTATATTATGAAGCAGTGATGAAAACTTTATGACTCCACTTTTCTGTCTTGATGAAAATTTAATATCGTAGTTCATGTGAATATCTTGAACTACATCATTATCATCATCGTCAGCAGCTTCATCATCAACTCCACTTTATTCGTCGTACCAGGTTCGTGTCATGCATAACTATTCCCTGTTCTTAATCCGTTTAGGTGTATTCGATCTCGTTGTCTTTTATGCGGACGTCCAAATTATTGAAACATTAACTGCCGTGTTATTCTGTTTTCTTAGAATTTTGCTGCAAACTATTAACGCATTCTCGTATTAGGATAATTTGTTTTAATTGAAATCATGTTTTCTTACTGTCAACATTATCATCATCTGACTATCAAGGATTCTGGGCCTAGTGACCCATTCCAGGAATCGTTTCAAAGGGCGCCCTCTGTTCTTTCTTCCCACTGGTTTGTGTTTAAAAATTAGATGTGGCAATCTTTCGTTTTCCAGTCTTCGCACATGTTGAATCCAATTCCTTCTGTATCTGTGAATATTTTTGTTTAATGTTGGTTCTGTTCTTACTGCGGACCACGTAAATAAATAAACTGAAATTATTTGCAGTCCTAAAATAGTATAAATAATATTTCATACATCATTCCTTACCTCAAAGAAACCACAACACATCTCCTTTACGAGGATGAAATGGTTAGTTTTGTTTTAGGAAATATTCTATGCTTATTCTGATAATCGTAAGAAACCGATAAATATATTCTTTGGATAAAATGTTGCGTTAGTGAATATTAAAACTTGATTCGTTGTACGTACCATTATGATTTACAGGGTAACTGAGTTGTTATTAATCTGTCACCATGTTGCGGGTTACATGTCTATGACACTGAGTCAACCTTGTTCCTGAGACTCATTTTTATCATCATATTTTATTACTGTTATGCTACTAATGATGGAAGATTGAATGGGATATAAAACCTTTCACGGATTCTGGTAATAATCTAAAGATGGCCCCCCTGTCTGTCTAATTCTTTTCTCTCTGTCATGGCGGCCGGTATGTAAATAAATCGATGTTCATGCTGTAAAGAGTTTTTAAACAAGCACGCTGTCTGGAGTTGGACTGGTGAGGGATGGAGCATATAGACCTATAAATTAAGTTCTAAGAATAATGCCTGACTTTAAGAAGCCAGGGGAAGGAAGTGTTTAGACAGCTATGGTGATTGGTTTATGAGGAATCAGGACGTCACGAAAAGTGGTAATGGATATGGGTCTGTCCAAACTCATTTGTTTACTCCTTTTAGCAAAGGCCAACAAAAACAGTCCGCATTATACCATTCTGTACATCCATCTTATTTGCTGCCCTTTCTTTGTTTCCTTCTTTATTTCTTTACTTTTCTTCTTCCGGTGAAGAGAAATGAACATACAAGAATGTACATAGCTTTCGCGTTTGTGTTTTTTACGTGTTTGTAAACGAATCTGTATAATAGCCTCCAGCAGGAACAGTTTTTTTATGATTTTTGGTTGCCTATTATAATCTTAATACCATTAGAATGAACTATTATCTGATGTGTTGTATTCAGATTCTCCCCAACTTCTTCCTAATTGAATAGAAAACAGGAAGGGCGTACAAAATTTTACTGAAAGTTGGGAAATATTGGCATGGATGAGACGTAAAATAGTAATGCGTGCCTGTATCTTATCACCTCGCCGTGAATACGTATAACGTTTTCCAGTCTTCGCACATGTTGAATCCAATTCCTTCTGTATCTGTGAATATTTTTGTTTAATGTTGGTTCTGTTCTTACTGCGGACCACGTAAATAAATAAACTGAAATTATTTGCAGTCCTAAAATAGTATAAATAATATTTCATACATCATTCCTTACCTCAAAGAAACCACAACACATCTCCTTTACGAGGATGAAATGGTTAGTTTTGTTTTAGGAAATATTCTATGCTTATTCTGATAATCGTAAGAAACCGATAAATATATTCTTTGGATAAAATGTTGCGTTAGTGAATATTAAAACTTGATTCGTTGTACGTACCATTATGATTTACAGGGTAACTGAGTTGTTATTAATCTGTCACCATGTTGCGGGTTACATGTCTATGACACTGAGTCAACCTTGTTCCTGAGACTCATTTTTATCATCATATTTTATTACTGTTATGCTACTAATGATGGAAGATTGAATGGGATATAAAACCTTTCACGGATTCTGGTAATAATCTAAAGATGGCCCCCCTGTCTGTCTAATTCTTTTCTCTCTGTCATGGCGGCCGGTATGTAAATAAATCGATGTTCATGCTGTAAAGAGTTTTTAAACAAGCACGCTGTCTGGAGTTGGACTGGTGAGGGATGGAGCATATAGACCTATAAATTAAGTTCTAAGAATAATGCCTGACTTTAAGAAGCCAGGGGAAGGAAGTGTTTAGACAGCTATGGTGATTGGTTTATGAGGAATCAGGACGTCACGAAAAGTGGTAATGGATATGGGTCTGTCCAAACTCATTTGTTTACTCCTTTTAGCAAAGGCCAACAAAAACAGTCCGCATTATACCATTCTGTACATCCATCTTATTTGCTGCCCTTTCTTTGTTTCCTTCTTTATTTCTTTACTTTTCTTCTTCCGGTGAAGAGAAATGAACATACAAGAATGTACATAGCTTTCGCGTTTGTGTTTTTTACGTGTTTGTAAACGAATCTGTATAATAGCCTCCAGCAGGAACAGTTTTTTTATGATTTTTGGTTGCCTATTATAATCTTAATACCATTAGAATGAACTATTATCTGATGTGTTGTATTCAGATTCTCCCCAACTTCTTCCTAATTGAATAGAAAACAGGAAGGGCGTACAAAATTTTACTGAAAGTTGGGAAATATTGGCATGGATGAGACGTAAAATAGTAATGCGTGCCTGTATCTTATCACCTCGCCGTGAATACGTATAACAAACTCCACGAATTCTTGAACCTCGGAAAGAGATGAGAATTGTCGACTTGAGGCTCAGACCGCTCTGTCCCTTATCGATATAGATGTAAAGATAATTTTAGAATGCGTCTGTTAGAGACGTAATGTCTGAAGTAGCTTGGTTTTGCTCCCAAAGAAAAGTAATATTGGCATCACAGCTCTTACCTCTAGTCTTAGAGTAACACTCTGAACCCTGAATTCCACTTGTCTGAAAACTTTCTCGCCAATGCTGTTCTTTTGTGCGTCCGTGTGGACTTGTAGGTCGATACCTGAATTTGGGAGAAGCATCCTGTCTGTGTGTTCAGGGTTGAAGTGTGGTTGAGGAAGTAGCTGTGTTCCTCCGAATCGTTTGTAGCTACCTTCAAGTCCAGATGGTGCTAGAAGAACGTCATCGATATCTTTACCGGAGTTGGAACCTCAGATCTCTGAGAATGCTGTCCTGTCGTAATATCCGGGCGTTTAAATACCGTATGTGCTGCAGTAGACTGTGTGTCTCTAACCAAGCTTAGTGTTTACATTTGCAGAGAATACACACAACAGGACGAAAAAAAAAGGAAGTGAGAAAGGGGGAAATGAGAAGACTATTAGATGCCAGAAGATAAGGAAAGAAAAATAAAGAGTTTAAAGAAAATCGAAGAGGAAGGTAAACAAGAAAATAGTAAATAGGAGAACGACTAATATTTATAATAAGTTAAGTATTTTATGGCATATCAGTGTTTTTATTTGTAGCAAATCACTTGTTATTGTTTGATTATAAAAGGAACAAAAGACAGTATAAAATTCCAGTTGATCTTGTTTCTGAGCACAGAAAGCTTTTACGGAACCACCATTAAACCGCACCTGTTAGAACGGTCAGTGAAGATGCATGCTATGCAATTCTTCAGTCATATTGCGTGTCAGTATATTTTGACTTGTAATGGTCTTGATCCAAGGTAATTCCATACAAATTTTAAAGCGTTCTTCATGCAAAGTTCAAAGTGCTTTCAGGTCTTTTTGTAAACACCAACCCCGAACCAGGAGTTATTTTTTTTCTTACCTACTGTGTTGCCGCAGAGCATGTTAAAGCCTATAATTAAACACATTTAACCATCGAATTAACTTCTATTTTTTTTTCGCTTTTCTTCAAGACTAACTTTATTTTTCAAACACCATTGTAACTTTTTATTGGGCACGTTGGGACGGGATGTTAAACATCGAAAGTAGAAATTCGTACAAGAAACTGATGAGAAAACATCGTGTCATGGAAGCCCATGGGTAAATTGTGTCATGATATTTAAATGTATCTTTTAAGCGGTGACGATGATGAACATTTAAGCGTAGTAGCTGAAAATAAATGTATTTAGCCAAATTTAAATACATTTTGGCCTGATGAAAGAGGAAACTGTACTATATAATTATTTGATAGATAAAAGTAGTGTAAATGTATGTAAAGTATTCGTATTCTTGGATAAGCCTTTATTTTAAGTATTTAAATGATTTATCTCTGAAATTAAATATGTTTGTTGGTAATTAATATTAATTATATTGTTTGTGCAGTAATTAGTATTATTAGTAATGAATAATTTAATGATGGACCAGTACATTGATAGTTTTTTGTGGATGGAAGACTGCTACAATAATTAAGTGATAATAGCAGAAAGAACAACTACGTCTCGAGAAGTCAGTTTTTGGTTTTTTTAGCGTATTCCAATACCTAATTTATGAAATGGTGATTTGGTTTATGACACCGTGAAAGATTTTCATTTCGTAATTAATGTTCTTCGCAGAGAATTCGAAACTTAACCCTAAAAATCAAGTTTATTTTTTCCACCTCGTTCGATCCGCTTGGCTTACTGTTATCTTTACAATGATGAAAATATTTTACTTTCTGAAGATTAAATTTTCGAATTGAGCAGTGTGTTGAGCATCAAGTCAAGAGGAATTGACTGTCGAATTGTGATTGTCGTCTAGGAGGCAACACCATCGGTTTAGAGGCACAGTAATGGAGAGGAAAGAATTGTAACTCATTCCTGAAACGAGCAGTTACCAACCTGTTACGTACGTTTCAGAGACCCTTGCTGCATCCATTGTCAGATAAGGGCTATGAAGGATCCTTTGTGTGTGTTTACTAATTCTTATTACGACAAATAATATATTACATTTCTCCTAACAATAACTTGCAGATATAGGCTACAGTTTCTTGTAAGAATTAGAAGCACACCTAAAACTTTGTGGTGACACACCACTTGCGGAACATCGGTCTAGCCTGATATATTACGAGTATGTACCATGTTATTTTGTTTTAAATTAATTCAGAATTTTATACTCTTGTGAGGCAAATATGCAGATGAATGAAGAGGCAGAAGGGAAATGACAAGGCAAGAGAGATACATTCATCTCGAAGGATACTGAAACCATCACACACGATTCGAATCAAACACAGATGTTACCTGCACCTGTAACGGTGAAGTCCTTTGCACCGTGTCCCTGGTTTTGACATACTTTCGTGCTGTGAAAAAAAAAAAAACCTTTTACGGTAAGTAACGTCGCTAATGCACACAGCGGCGTGGTGGTAATGAAAGAGTAAAAGTTGGAAAATGTTTCAAAGGGTATCCATTGATAAACTGTACAGGCATGATTAAGATAAGGCTACTCTTTTTGCATCCTTCTCTTTTATAGACGTGTTTTTGATGTTGGAAAAACTTTACTTTCTGAAAAGAGCAGGTGGAGTTGGTACACACTTTATATTCCGCGTAACACTTGTAAGCGGAAACTACAACTTTGGAAGTCGTCATCACCATCATCATGGATTAAGGGCTTGCGCTCTTGTTTCCGTTTCGTCAGACGTCCCAGGTATTTCCTTCTAACCTTCCATGTATATGTATTTACAGAGTAACCTCGAGAATCGTGCCTTTCTATTCTTTTCAAATGGTTTAGTCATTTATCTGGTAGTTTATTATTATATTGATATACGTTTATGAACCGTCTCTTTGTACCCTGTGGCTCTCCCTAGGAAAAAAAATATTTCTGGCGTCTTGACGTCTTTATTCTTGTCATATCTTTTGAACAAGATCGTTAGTTGTGCGATGTTCCATTTGGGTTTCCAAATAATTTTATGTCGGTAAATAAACATACGTGTAACTTGTAGCAAAATCATCTTACAGAGTAGTTGCATTTCTCTACGTAACGTCTCTGCTTCTTAAAGTATTTGGTTCAAAGGCTGGCCGTTCGTCTTGTTCCATGACAGTAAACGGATGCAGTACAACACATTTAAATCTTTTATCACTGATGCACTGATTTATCTGTTTTCTAGCCTCCAAAACATGTTAAAGTCGACTGAAAACCGAAACGAGCATCAACAAGTGTTTGCCGTCTTTGAGTATACCTAATTGTAAAACGTTCGTGTAGGTGATGCAGTTGTCGCTGTATTATCTATCGTTTTTCCATAAATTTCGCCAGTTTTCACAGCCAACCTCAATAACCGAATCGCAGGTCATTGTCACTATTGAGTATTCCATCTGGGATTTGCGCCATGTAGTCTGGTAGATGTTTTAGACGTTTCGAAGGTGCTTACTGCCTCCGTCGTTAGGACGATAAACCTCTGATAATTTCCTGAAGAAATAGCTAATTTATAAAAATCTTTAACGTTTTTTGGTGTTTGTAGCCTTATATAATATAGGCCTGTTTGAAATATAAAAAGACCGAACCTGATTTGTATTCGTGAGGTTTCCTATTCAAATCTGTGTCAGTTCACAGATTAAACTGGCTCAGATCTTTCTTGGCTTTCCGTTATTTCTTCAAACATACGTCGTTGTATTGTCTTCAAATAGGCCGAAACTGTTTCTTCCCCATTCCTTTAAGTTTTACCCAACGCTACCACACCTCGTGTTAGAAAACGTTATACACTTGCTCAGTCGATACAGCGTCTTTAAGTAACCTCAAATGCACTCCATAAAGTTTATCCCCTTAGCTAATATTATTGGAAAAAAGTAAAAATGAGATTAGTATGTGTGGATTAAAGAATACATAAAAATTGTTATTTCATTATAGGACAAGGAGAGAGAGAAATACTGAAATAAGGCGAATTGACATATTTGAAATAATTTCACCATTGTTTGATTTTATGTATTCGAAGTACCCACACAAAATTAATTGTATAACTCCAAAAACAGATCTCAATATTATCACAAAACATCTGTATAAGTAAACTCCATTTGTTGTGTTAGTATTATTCTGTTCACTGCCTTGTCTTCAGTCGTTAATGGAGTACTCTACCCTTAAGGTTGAAAAAACAGAAAACTTTTTACATAAACCAAAGTTTTGTAGTCGAAAGGGGGTAAAACAATGCAGCTTTCTCAGGTGCTGAATTTCAGTATCTACTTTTATTCTCTTTTCTTGAGATTAAAATGAAAATAAAAGGTAGAAGAAGACAGAAAATCAATCAATTTCTATTCAGTTAAAAAACGTTGTTTGGGTTATTTTCAGTCATGGAGGATTTAGCGTGAAATGTAAGGCAGTCAACTGCTGTTTATTAAGGCTCTCAGAACTCTAGTGAGGATAGGACACGATTATTTACACTTCAGGAAAGCATCACGACGGGTCGACAAGAGACAGAAATAACTCTCAGTTTCTGCTACCTAAATTTGAAAGAACATTTTATAGCCATTTCCTGTTGACTGCATAATTCACAAAGGACACACTGTTTTTTTTTACAATAGCAGATTATGAAAATGATATTTTAGTGTTCCTTTTTGTAATTTTAGTTTTAGAGGAACGAAGATACACAGATATAGATAAAACTCGGCTGTTATTTGTGGCAACACGAAGTAGTTCATACGTCGCCTCACACCAAACATGTATGTACATGTGTATTTATAGATGGATGACCTAAATAACATAAGAAGCACAGTCATCCATTAGACTTACTTGCATGAATCTTTAGTTTGTAATTAAATAGTGCGTACGAAATGTTTCAGCGGGTACAAACTCATGACGAGTTGCGGACTGTTCCTTCCGTGTGTTTCTTTGCTTCCATTTTTTCCCAGCTTTCTGATTTTTACTCTCTCTCATTGTTTCTTTACATCTTTCATCTTTCTTTTTTCATTTTCGTCCTTCTTTTAATGGCTATGTAAAACGTATTGATACAAAACGAATTTAAAATGTGCGGCGTGTTCCATGTTTCTTGCCTCTAAAATATTTCACTTGTCCAGTTTGGGATTCAAACCACGAATCTATCAAATCCGAATCCGAGATGTATGACAAGAAACAGTGAAGGAGCGCTCCTTAATCGCATGTAAATTGTAATATCCGTTATAATAGTGGCAATATTTACGGCTGGTGATAAACAGTAATATTTTATACTTAATTATGTTACGTATCTTTGCTGTTTATATAAAACTCTCCGTAATTTATTTGACCCAGTGTTAATTCTTGTCTACGCACGAAGCTAATATATTTTCACAAGGTATTTGGTTTTATATCCGACCTTAAAGGCGTTTTATAAGCTATCATTTTGTTGTCTTCCCGTGATTCAGAAACTGCTCTCCCAGCTTGACAACTGTTTTTAGCATTTATATATCCTGCCCACACTGGTCATTATGATTCAGAAAGTGAAAATTTAAGTTTTCTTAACTTCTATCTTTAATTGGAAAGTTTTGTGGAATTCTTTTACCGGTTTTTCTAACAGTTTTAATTGCCAAGATTGTACTGAAAATTACAATAAT